AATATTTTCCGATGGTAGCCATGCGACTGTTTATAAACATGGACGTCTGACAACATATTTTACAGTATTACAAAAGTGATGGGTCTTTCCCATTTTGACGGTAAGTAACTAACAATAACTCTATACTGGAAGTTTTATATGTTGTTTATGTCATTATTACGAGTGTTCACCAAAAATGTTGAATCAATATGATTATTAAATTCCTCCTGAGTTACAGCGCTTGAAAACGAAAGTGCTGACGTCAGCATTATTTTCGAACGCCTTCAGAACAGTACACGATTTAGTTAAAATTGACCATTTTATACCACCAAGCATTTATCCAAAAATCAAATGCTAAAATAAAGGCAAGTTTGAACCAGTTGTATATATCAGGTAAGAAGTCCCGTCTTAATAATTTTTAACTAAATTTTATACTGCGATTTTAGATTATACACTTGCAATTTTTACTGCGATTTTAGGTGCAATTTTCATCAGAAGAACTGATGGATGTGAACGAGTGGATAAGTTATGAATGTTTAGATGAGGGTACATGTACTCAGAACATTCGTAATTCGTTCACATGCATTAGAAGGAGGAAATTGCAGTAGAAATCGCAGCAAAAATTGCAAGTGTAAACTGTAAACGGGCGATTAATTCCTCCTGAGTTACAGCGTTTTTCAAGCGCTGTAACTCAGGAGGAATTAATCATATTGATTCAACATTTTTGGTGAACACTCGTAGTAATGATATAAACAACATATAAAACTTCCAGTATAGAGTTATTGTTTGTTACTTGCCGTCAAAATGGGAAAGACCCATCACTTTTGTAATAAAATATGTTGTCAGACGTCCATGTTTATAAACAGTCGCATTGCTACTATCGGAAAATATTGTGATGTTCCGGTATATTCTGGGAAAATGTCGTGATATTCCGTGATATTCCGCCATATTCCGTGATATTCCGCCATATTCCGTGATATTCCGGCATTCCGGGGCACAACGCCCATTTATACTGTATGTTGTTCGTAAAAAGCCAATATATTAAACACACATGCATTATCCGAAATGAACAATATTAGGGAGTTTAAGCTTCACCTTTTCGCGGGAACGGCAAACGGCATATTCGAATTTTCTTGGCCAAATTTTTCGTTGAACGTTTTCGTTTCATATTTTCTTTCTTGTGTCAAAATTAAGGCTTTGTGCACACGGACGTTGTTTTCGAGCGTTTTCAAAAACGTTTTTGTCCCTTTAATCGTTTTGACGCCCTGTTCACAGGGTCCAGAGGAAAATATCTCCAATGTATTCAATAAACTACAGCTTCTGTCGTAAATTGATAGTGTTTGCATCCGTTTTAGCGTGAAAACACAAATGAAAACGCTCGAAAACGTTACCGTGTGCACGTAGTCTAACAGTACAGTGTTTCAGTTTTAAAACAGCAAGTTAATTTACTCTTTATTGCTTGATACGGTAAAATTTTTCTTTGTCTGCCGTTTGACGTATAACGCGAAGCTTAAACTCTCTATTACTGTAATATTCACTGCAATTTTAATACTGTAATCACCAGCTTATATCAAATACATATTGAGATAAGAGACGGACCATTAGAAAAGTGATGGGGAGGAGGGGGGGATTTTTTAAGAGGCAATATATTTTTTTTGTACACCTATAGAAGTAATTTTTTTTCTCACTTGATGGCTGGAAATTTTTGTTTTTAAGTGCAATTTACAGGCATATCTTCCAAGCTAGGAATTTTTTTTTTGCATTATGCCTGGGAAGATTTTTTTCCCTATGATTTTTTTCTTGGAATAATTTTTTTTTGTTTTGTCCCCCCCCCCCATCACTTTTCTAATGGTCCGTCCCTAAGGGTGGCTTAAATTGAAACCCACAACACAAAGCAACTACTGAAATGTTTACCACTTACCCAGATACGGTATTATTAAAACATCATGTTTGTCTTCGACAAAATTCATGTTTGTTGCCTTTGCCTTTGTATGAGGTTGACAGCCACGAATTCATGAAACTCGCTCCAATCTTGTTTCCATTTTTCAACAAAATCCCACCTTCACTTGTTAGTTTTGTAAACTTTTCTACGAAATTTTAATTCGTAAAGTAATGTACACTTAATATCTGCTCCCCGTCGAATCTCAATTGAAACTCTCGGAAAACCAAAATTGAGTGTTTTGTTACGTATAGCGACGAAACATTCATACCACAATTGTATTTCATGACAACAACTTTATAGTGTAAAGGAGTTTAGAATTAAAAACCATACTTATTATAAACGGTTTCAGCAGCATATGCTGTTCCCTGTTGTGTATTTTTCTTCTCTATTACATTCTTTATTTTCACACAAATTTGGAAACTCTTATCGCGTATTTTGTGAATTGGTGAGTTGTGCCGCCATTTTGTTTAGGAACCAGTCATTATTTAGATTTATTTATGGCGGGATAATGTTTTTCTTGCGTGCAGAGCTCTGTCTTGCATGGAAAAAATGTTGCTGATCCAACTATTAAAAAGCCGAAAATATTTTCACATTATCTGCACATTTGCCTCCTTACAAATTGGGAAATGTTCAAGATAGCGACTCTGACTGATTCACATATTGTATTGACATATGACTGTTGACATTGCTTTCTATATTGAGTGAGTCATGCTTTGAAACTGACAATAAATTTTCATTATTCAACCCTTGAGTTGTTTTGTTTTTCATTTATTCAACCTTTCACTTACCCAACCCTTTTCTCTTCGTTGCCACTCCCCAAAATAAATAATGACCGGTCCCTTATTTGTGTACGTAGCCGGTTGGGGTGGGCAACAATTTTTCACTCGTTGCCCGGCGGATACATTGCATTTATCTAAAGCTACGTAACCACAAACCAGCCAATCACATTTGGTGTTCACACTAGCTATATAAGAGTAAAGTTGAACTTCTGGCGTGACATTAGAAAAACAAAATGTTTATCTTGCCAATCACAAGTTTAATGTACTATTTAAAACATGAACAGCAGTGTTTTATCAGATACAAGGCGAAGCCGAGTATCTTTAGGTCTGATAAAAGACGCACTGCGAACGTTTTAAATTGCTTCAAAAACGATCGATCTAGTAAGTTTATTGGCGAAGTTAATTTCGAGAAAATCAAAGAAAATCAAAGTTTTAATCTCGAGAAATTAAAATCGAGAAAATCAAAGTTTTCTAAAGTTTATGTAAATCAAGGGAAATCTCTATCACATATATAAAGGTTCGACACGCTTATGATTTTTCTTTATGTTTACTTCATGAATTATTAACGAGTTTTTGAAAGATAGTGAACTAATAAGAAGAAATTTGACAGCCATTCGCCAGAGGCTGTGTGTAATTCGCCGGTATTTGCAGTCATGACAAACTGAAATTTTAGCCCGGTCTTGCACTCAGACAATATACTAAATAGTCTAAATAGACAAAGCATGCAAGCCTTTGCCTACCACTCAACTCATAGCGCCCTTGAATCTTCGACCTTCCATTCTTTGCATACTCTCTTTGCTGATCAGTTAATAGCCGGAGCCTCAGTAGAGCAAAACAGTATTGGCCATATACCCAAATTAGTATTAGCCAGGACTTCAAACGGATACCTGAAGGGTTGTATTTTTCTGTTCAGATTGAGGTTTTGAAACGACATTTCGGTCTCAGAATGTAGTCAATTAATGTAATCCATGCAGTCATCAGACTGAAATAATTTTGGTTTAGGATTGAGACTGCATGATAATCATGCAGTGCAAGTCACTAGTTGATATCAATAAGTAGTGTATATCAATGATATACATTTCCTTGTTTCCAGTTATATAGTCGGGAGAGGAATAAATTATGCATATATGAGAATGGAAGATAGTTATTTAAATCTATTCAAATGTTCCTCCAAAACGTCAACATCTTACTTTCCAAAGTTCTTCCATGTACCAATGAAAGATTTTACAGCAAATCGTGATTGTGTATTTAACACTCACAACATCACACATAACTCAATAACAACTTTAAAAACACTCCTAAAATATTAAACATCCTTAAAACCGGGTTCGTACAAAACTTGAATGTCCTTGAATTTGAAAACAAACATTCAATGCCTTGAATATCCTTGAATTTGTAAAGAAGTACTTAAGAGTCCTTAAATTTTTCTTGCTTTAGTTGATGGATATTTTCTGAAATTGTTTTACATTCAAAACGGACATTTTGTTGAATTTATTTTGATAAATATAATTAATTAAAGTTGCGCCCTTTTTGAACATTTAACTGATTTCTAACTCCTGCTCTTCAGTATTTAGCCCTTGACTTTGCTGATATATGGGCATATGGCCTTCAATGTCCTTAAAATGTCCTTGAATTTGACTCTTTCTGACATGTACGAAACCTGTAAAAAAACTCATTAATTCATGAGGAAAAAAGAAAGGAAATCACTACCGTGTCGGTTGTTTTACATGATAAAAATTCATGTCATAAAAATTCAAAGCCTCGGCTGTCGCCTCCTGTTTTATATCTGATAAAGCACATCTCCTGCTCGTGTTTTAAATAGTACTTAGCATATCCTGCATGCGTGCATGCATGCATATGTGATTGTCTTTGTGGTAAAGTACGTATATTATACGTTACAAAATACCAAATGTTTAAATCCCAGCTTTACCTCAAATTTGTGTCACTGAACAGTGAACACTTGCAGTACTATATTATATTTTAGTATTAAATTCAAACGTTCTCTGACCAAATATTTTATTTGACGAGCTTTCGGCTATCAGACCTATAGCCTTCAACGGGTAACTAACTAAGCACACGGTGACCAATTTATATTAAAGTACAATACTAGTATCTTGACAAAACACAACTTGTACTCGGAAGATAAGTTCAAGTACGTTACCTTCATGTCCGTATATAATAATAGTCCTGTGGGTGTTTAGCCCATTTTGTTCTCGCGCTAATTTCTCTCTGCTTCACATGTTTCCTATCTTCAGTGACCTTTTTGTCACAGTTTTCGGTCCTTTTCTAATGCTAAACGTATGGTACAAATATTGCCGTACTAAATTATTGGAGAATCAGTAAGGAGCACCAGATCACCTCGTACTTATCATCCTTCCATCATAAAGGCATGGTGTGACGTCACAACAGATGGAGGAGGATTCGTGCTGGTTGCAAAGAAAAATGACCCTGTTACCTGGACTGTTCCATCTTCAAAAGAAACTGTTGATCCTCATGGTAAACCACATTGGTCAAGCACTTTTGGAAAAGTAGAAATGTTAGACGTACGTTTTCAAATATCCACAACATCAAATTTTAAGGATACAAAGGCACACTGGTGAGGTTTGATTTTAATTGTTTTTATAGTTGATGAAATATAATGAAAATAAAGTTTTATCTATAGCCATTCAGCTATATTACTGTATATTACACTGTAAAGTATAGGTATAGAAAGCTTCTGCTGGTATAGTCATGTTCCACTCTTCTATAGAGCTTTGATTCGGTTTAGACGGTTTACATTGCATTGATAAAAGTTTGGGTGTTGGTGGAAAATTAACAATTTGTGATGTCTTTCGTCAATAAGATAAAAAAAGATATATTTATAGCAAGTCAAAAGCTAAGAGTAATCAGCAACATAATTACAGTGTATTTCGTTTATAATATTTATGCAAACACACCTGGAAGTCCAGCTTTATTTAAATACCAGCATTCACTGTTCAATTTCATCAAATATTCAAGGAGTTTCAGATTGGCAAATAAACGTCCTCTTGGACAACTTCTTTTACGCAATTCTGGTGGTTGTACAAAAGATAATCCTGGCATTGGTGATATTGCATTTGTTAAGGATCTGCAGACTGGAAAAGTTGTCAACAAAAACTTTCGATGTTCCATATTTAGTGGACACCTTTCAAGATTAATTGGATGGGTACGTTTTCAAAACCTCAATTAAAAAAAACTAACTTCGCACGATATGATATAATATAAAGCTTAATATTCAACTTAGCTAACATTTATTACATAATATTTTTAACAAAACATTTGTAAATTGAATCTCAACCGTAAGCCGTGTTTACACCACAAGTCTAGGACTGGTCAGGTTTGTGCCGCACTGATTGGCTAACCAGTTTACTATGTCAATCAGCGTAAACTAGTTTAGACCAAAGCCTGGCAAAGACTTATCGTTCCACTTTACCGACGATATCTGAGTCTCTGTTACTCATATTTTCGTTTAGGGGCAAATGAACAAATGCCTTCAACAACCGTGTTCTCCTGGCTTTGCATATTTTTATGGAGTTAGATTGGACGATTCTGGCTCTTTTAGGTAATAAAACTTGGAGAACCAAATATATTGCTATAGTGAGAGTAGGTCTTAGTTTGTGGTTGTTAGTCCGTAGGTCATCAGCGACAGCCATTACTAGGTTACGTAATTCCATGGTTCCATGCTGATTTGTGTTGTTAGTTCAATTCTTGAACACAATTATGCTTCATGTGCTGGCTGCCGATATGCCCCTACCACGTCGTTCAAACAAAACCGAACAGAAACAATTTTATTGCGACATTTTTTGCCTAAGTTCTTCAATTTGGTAGCAGAAAGTGCGGAAATGCTATTTCCGTGACTTAATTTCTCACATTTTCCTAGAGGAGCATGCCCCAGGACCCCCTCCAGCTTTACTGGTGCCCTGGACAGATTTCAGCCCTCCAACTAAAGATATCTTTCAACACCAATTATTCTATATCAGGGGTGGGACATGAATTTGTCTGCAATGACAGGCTCTAGGTCACAACAATTAAACCATTGGTTTTTGAGTCGGTGAAAAATACCACAATCGACAATGCAAAATTACCCCCCCCCCCAAAAAAAAAATAAAATTATCGGTTCTTAGGATATTTTCTTGCAAATTTCACTCCACATGTGTTTGATTTGAATGAGCAAGCTGAAGTTATCGTTCGAATAGATATCTCAGTACTCTAAAAGTATACAAGAGATGTTGGGTTCGTCACCACGCAAGAGTAATTATTATAGATTAAGATTAATAAACAGCTATGGACCTCTATTTAATACCCTATGGACATTTATACAATTGCAGAACAGATTATAATTCAACACCTTTTCTATTTTAAGGGGGCCCAAGCCCCCAGTTCTTCTCATTCCTACGCCAGTGCCATAAAATTATATCTATTTTAAAAGTATTACAATAAAAATACATATCTTCTTTATTTCAAATGTAATATATTAATAAACATTTGAAATATGAACATTTATTATTTTGATCAATGAAAAGTTTTATATCAAAAGACATACTGGAACTATAAAACAGCCTGTACAAAAACCTGCATATAAAATGTGTTTGTATTAAACAATATAAAACATCATCCGCCCCATCCCCCTAAACAATGAACGGTCCCTAAGTACATGTTCATTCTGAATTGCAGTTACAGCGCTCACGGAAATTCGAAAAGCTCTGGAATTTTACATAGTAGTACTGCATTCATCGGATGTTCCCATCAAAAAGTAAGTCATCGCCAATCCTATAGTTATGCAGACGAGCCAGGGGATAAAATGTTTGTGCAATTATATCAATGGATCCGGATTATATAATGATATGTTAAAGTATTGATTAAAGTTTCATATTACGGTATACTAGTTTTTCTCGAAACCGGCCTATACTGGCATGCAGTGGCAATGCCAACTTTGGTGGTACCATTATTTTTTTATGATTCTTGCATACGGAATGCAGTGTTGTGTCGAAAAACGTCAAGCCACTTTAAAGGAACGTTCAGGCTTTGTGAATATATATGGGAATTTATATGGAGTATATGTGGGCATGTGTTTCACCGAGGCATTTTTTCTGTGGTGTGTTAACTTTCCCAAATCATGTTTACTTTTTGTTTGTGTTAACGACATGACTGAAAACAGCATATAAGCGGAGTGTAATGTGTTTTAGTGTTGTGCGTGTTATGGACCAAAAGGAGGGACGAAGAACTACTGTTTGACAGACTGCACGTCAATCAACGGAGGAGTAGTGAAGAAAAAAGTCCATGCATGGATATGGATTCGTTCTTCAATTCCCAAACGAGCTTGGAGAAAATGTATTGAGTACACTGTCACCGACAAGAACGGGAAGAAAGAGACATATAGTGTAGACGAGGAGACAGGAACACGAAGAAAGGTACAAAGACGTACAAAATACACCACCGCAAGACTATATGTGAATATAACGCTTTGAGACCTTAGAACTTTGAAGTATTGTTTACTGAACCTTGACAGTTTTGATTATTTTTTACAGGGCAGTTGCGCATACTCACATGATGTAAGAAAGAATGGTGCGGTGAGTGAAAGAATTGAAAAATCAGAAAAGCGCAAACTCGCGGAGAAAGTTCACCTTAATTGGGCCTTGGAAATCCTACCCTGGGCGCAGAGGTTTTCTGGTGCCAGGCAAGTTGTCAGGCACGGTAGAACCTGAGTGCAGGATACAGCTTCAGTGAAACAGTAAACCCCTTGCTCCGGGGTAAGGCAAGCCAAACAGTCATGCACGTCTATATTGTATATATTGCACTCTACTGCATGAGAGATAGTTCTGGAAACAAATATAGCTACTGTACATGTCATGTCAAAATTGAAGTATTATTGAAAAACTACACAGTTCTAAATGTTTCAATATTTGGCAGGTGTTGGTAGCTCCAAATGAAAAGGCTGAAAGGAAAATTCCCTCAGCTCCAGGTCTCTTACTTTACCGTCCAGATAAAGAAAAACTGTTAATTCAAGGAAAGAAAGATTGGAAGGAAATTGCAATGGTGAATGAGGTAAAGCAATTTGTGCAGTATTGTTTGACTGACAGGTGACTGCTGTCCTGCAATGCAATTTCTTCATGATCAATGACATTTTATAATATACGTATACTAAATATCAGGATTTGGGGCATCTCACCAAAATAACTAATTGTTGAAGGAATTTGTAGATGGAAATTAATTTGGAGTGGAATTTTCCCATATAATTATATATATTTATTTATTAGACCTAACCAGGAGCAGTTGCCCTAAATCCTGATATTTACACATTCACCGTACATTGGCATCACCTTAGTATTTATACTTGAACTGGCTTGAGGTTTAGGCTCAATAACGGCGTCTCTCTGTAGCTCAGTTGTTTAGAGCGCTGCACCCGAATCGCAGGGTCGCAGGTTCGATTCCTGCCGAAGGCGGATAGTTGTTCTTTTTGCAACTGCTCCTGGTTAGGTGTAACAAATCATTAGAAATGTACAAAAATTACACTCGAAATTTCCATGTACAAAACCCTATAGCTAATATGTACTGCCTTTTTCTCCAGGTTAAAAGTCTTAAAAAAAGTGTTGACAGTGTTAAGAACGCGGTGAGAAAGGTAGAAAATAAGATCAGCAAATTGAATTCATATGTTTTTCAACGTCAAGATAACAGTGAGTTAAATATTACATTATTTGGTATGAATGTATTTTAGGATAGCTGTTATATGACCTGAAACTTATTCTTAGTTTGCATGTTATTCACACAGGTATAACAAGTTGCAAACATTTGAAAAACCTACGATCTGGTTTAGTTAACGGATATTATCGAATTGGAGCATTTTCGGTAATTCCATTTGTCATAAATCGTTAGAAACTTTGTCTATTATGTAATTAAATAATTTCACGGAAAGTATAATGTACTCTTTGGAGACCATTTCCTTTGATTAATACCTCAATAATTTGAGGAACTTCCTTTAAAAAGTTCCTATATAACAATTAACAAATATTCGCAGAAGGCGAGGTGATTATCGGGGAATATTCACCGAGACGATGTCGAGGTGAATATTCCCCGATAATCATCGAGCCTGAGGGGAATAATTGTTTTAGTATTTTTACACAAGTCTTTTGTGTCTTTTGGTATTTTTATTTTAATTTCTTTATCATTAACTTCCACTAAACGGCTAGCCGCCATTTTGCAAATTTATGTTTTGTTATATTCACTACCTCATGACCATTTTTTGAAAAGGGACCTTTCTGTGAGATAATATATTAGAGGGGGATAGCAATGACTGACGGCCACGTGTGTGGGCAACATACCACGCATGAATGGGGGGTCTGGGGGTGTACTCCCCCAGAAAAGTTTTGAAATTTGAAGCACGGAAGTGCCATTTCCTGCATTCTGAGCATCCAAATTTGCTCTAAAGTTTATGCTAACTATACTTGTATTTGAAATAAAAGAAGGGAAAAGTGCACAAAAAGTAAAAAAAAATATTAACCGTAATTTATCATTACTTATTAGAGGGGGATACCAATGGCCGAAGGACACGTGTGTGGGGGCATAATCCTCACGGAAAATGTTTGAAATTTGAAACCCGGAAATGCTATTTCCTGCATTCTGAGCATCCAAAAAATAAAAAAAATTATTAACAATAATTTATCATTACTTAGTGGTAGAAAAACGCAACAATTTAAATCGATTTTATTAAACAAGGACAAAGGATAAAGCCTAAAACTTACTTTCCGTTTATCTATTTGTTATTCTTCGCTGGTATAGGTGAATAACAGCTTAATACGTCAAATTTGACCAATCAACTTGTAGGATTTGTTATATTCACTTGTGAAAAAATACTAATACAAATTACTATCCACTGAAGTTAAAAGGATGTAATATCTGCAAACTGTCTAGACGTTCGCACTAATTAAAGGGTTTGTAGAGTCTGTACTTTTTAGGAAGAAGAAAACTTCATATAGTGCATAGTAAATACAATAATGCAAATTGTGGCGACTAGTTTTTTAATCGGTGGCCGAATTTCAGACGGCCATTATTCGTTGATGTCAACGAGTGGTCGTCTGAAGTTCAAGCTCACCAAACGGTTCATTGTCGCTTCCTTCAGCCGAAGCAAAATTTCACAAATGAGAAAATAAAAAATATATTGCCATTTCCCTTTAATGATGCAACTTAATATTGTTATACTGGTTAGTTTGGTTATAAATGATTTCTTGTTTTGGTAATTTTGATTATGTGTGCGTTCACTATTGTTAAAGAATCTATTAAAATTTGCAATGTTCTTCGCTAAAATAGACCTGACCTTTAAGTGTCAAATTATACGTACACGTTAACTTCATAATTACTTGTATATTTTATTCCTTTTAGGCGTATTGTGACATAGTTAATAATGGTTGGACATTGATAGCTCGCTTTTCAAACAATGATTTGAAGAATTGGATACGTGATGGCAAAATGTGGTTTGATAGATCTTTCTCTTTCGGTTATCCAACCAGTCCAACGCATAACTGGGATATGATTTCCGAAGCATTCTGGAAAGTGAAAGGAAATGAATTTAAGATTACACGAAGTGATGATTCCAGTCACACAGCTCTACTACAGACCACTTCCAATTGTCTTCAAGGCAGAACATTTAGATCTAAGATCACAAGTTATGGAAACTTTCGTAACCGCGCAGTCTGGGCAAGTAACCAGTGTCGTGGAAGTTGTTCAGTTAGTTATGCCGGTCAGTACAAAACTACAGCAGGTTTTGAAAGACACAGTTGTAGCAGCAACCTTCAGAGCAGGAACTACATCGGGTTTTGGTGTGATTGGTCTGGTGGTGATGGTGCAGTGATGATGATTGGTGGAGGAGGACGTAGTTGTGGCAGAGCAGATCATGGTATTGGAATAACAGAGGAAAATGCGGCAAAATTTGGTGGAGATAGTAATTATGATTTTGGTTATGAAGCAAACAACACTCCTACCTCAGCGTATTCGCTCAACCTGTGGGTTCGTTGAGACGCTTTTACAATTATGAAGTTACGACTACAGCAACCTAGAATTACGTAGAATGAGGTGTAGACTGGTGTAATAGTTTAAATACAGTAGTAATTAGTAAGCTGGAGACTTCACGACATTTAATTATAATTAGTGACCTTGATATAAACCGTCGTCGTATTTGATTAGTTGATATAAAATCATAAATTGATGCATATCATATAACTGAGTCTCACAATTTGATGCAGAATTTGCTACGGCCAATTTTTGACATTAATGAGTATTTAATAAAAATAAGTAAGACACTTTCGGGCTAGAAAAGGAAGCAATATGCATGAATTAGGGGGAATTTTGAATATCTATTCAGTGCGCTATGTAATTTTAACCCGAAATTAGACTTTCCGTAAAGCCTGAATTTCATCATCGGTTGTTACAAAATATCTGTCCTGTTATTTCTTTTGCTGAGTTGGATAAAAAAATACCCTCAACTGATGCGGATAATCCGAACCTCCTAAAAACATGGTCACAGTGTAGAACTGTCGTGCGGAGGAGTATCATGCTAGAATATTACCAAGTGATTGAGTTCTGACAAACAATGCAATTCTTCATAAACCACAGTGTTTGTTTCCTCAGTTATACTACAAATATTATTTGAAAAGGCGTTAAAATAAACTAAAAGTAGATGGGTATTTTGTAGATGGAATATTCGAACGCAAATTTATATACTGCACATTTTTAGACCTAACCAGGAGCAGTTGTGGAAAATGCAACTGTATAGACCCAATGGCAGGAATGGCATTTGGACGGCTGTGGCTCTGCGATTCCGCTGCAGCCCTCTAACCAACTGAGGTCCACGAAATTGCTTTTCAGAGTTTCATTTTTTAAATTTTCCTGGGGGGGGGGGCACCACAACAGTGTCTTTGGAAATTGTAAAAACGTCAGCCACAACCCAACACAGTTTTCTAGAAAATGGAAAATTTACGATTTAGATCCGTATGTTCGGATAATTATGTCGCTTGTTGAAAAACAAAAGTATCCTTACTGATGTAAAGCAACATCTAAAGGATGTTATACAACCGCCGTTGCAATGGCAACAATGACGTCTCAAGATGGCGACTCCCAAAACGACATTGGCGACCCCCAACGTCAAACGTCATTGTTGCCATAGCAACAGTTGTTGCGTAACTTTTGTGAAAAATTTCAAACTCTTTAGATGTTGATTCACATAAGTAAGATGCTTTTGTTTTTCAACAAGTACTGACACTTGTCCAAAAATACGGATTTAAATCGCAAATTTTCCATTTTCAAAAAATGATATATCGAGCCATCTTAATTAAATATCCTTCTGTGTAAGGGAGGGGCCATGCTCATGGACCTTTTTACACGTTTTCCCCCACGACTGACAAAGACTTAAAAAATACCCTGTTTGGTATAATTGGGAATGCCATCGGTGTTGTGATGATTGGTGGAGAAAGAAAAGACTGTTGAGAAAGGACTGTTCAATACCAGAGGTATATATTGTATATATTGAATGCAATAACAGCGCAGAAACATAAGCGCATGCAAGATGCAGCAAAGTTTAAGCCAGGGGTGGCTCATTTTGATTATATTGTCTTGAATTACGACAAACCTTCAACTGAACATAAGGTATTCGTTCATAGAATGAAATACAGCATATAGAGAGTGGGAATAGTTTAATTTTGGTATTTTGACAAGTCACACAAGAAGGCCCGAGTTAGGCTGACAAAAGACGTAATTCATAAATTGATACATATCATATAACTCATAATTAATTCATACAACTGAATCACAATAATAATTCTCTCTCCTCCGCAGAGGCTTTAGTTTTCTTAGGATTTAATATTACGATGAGATACATTTCACTACACTTTACATGGCGGATCTTGGAACACGAGCGTAGCCGCTGGGCGAAGAAGCGCAGGCGGCAAAGGCGTAATAATTCATGAGTAAATAGGTCAACCATACCACTCTCGCCTCGTGCTGCAACAAATTGCTAGGACTTGAAATCATATTCATTCGTCGGATTTGAAATACTACATAATAAAGTTCTATACGCCCATTTATTTACATTAATGAACTTTTAGTATTGTGTAAACACCATAACGGAATGGTTTGCCGTAGCGTATTAACTATGGACCTACTACGTTTGGCACTCCGGATGCAAATCACTACGCTAAGGTAAATTTGCCGTAGCGTCATAGTGTAAACGCGGCCTCAAGCCCCGTTTACACTACGCTCAATTTTTGGTACGGCACGGATAAAATTGGTACCCGTACCACTTTTTTGGTTCTTGGACTGCCTATTTAGGTAGTCGAAGAACCAAAAGTGGTACGGTACCAAAAATTGAGCGTAGTGTAAACAAGGCTTAGTTAAATAGATAGTCCAAGAACCAAAAAAGTGGTACGGGTACCAATTTTATCCGTGCCGTACCAAACATTGAGCGTAGTGTAAACGGGGCTTTATTAAAAAGTAACTCCTTTTCCGCATGTATCAATTCCGCACTGAACGACGTTACTCTCTCAAACCATTTCATGATCTGCATTAAAATACTGCAGATCGTCAAGAGTTATTTAAGTGTCCACCCGAGCGTTGAAACTATTAAGGCTGCAATCCAGTTACGCGTTTTTTCATACGCTGATATACGTATACGCATGGAAAAGTTCAAATCATTCTAAATTTTATGAGAACCAACTACATGCATGTACCTCAACAAATACACATAAATCATTATCATAATACAAAAAACTAAATGCTGTCTTTATTCATTTCATAAGTAACATTTTAAAGGATTTCAACTATTCCATGCGCATACGTATTATATAGCCTGCGAGCAGGCTGTACATTCCGTGTGCCTCAATTTTAACTTAGCCAGCCCGGAAATATAGCGCCTGCTCGCAGGCCATGTATTATATAAAGTTTCGTGCACTCGGCATGTTTATTCTATAAACAACCATGTGTGTTAATTTTGTAGCACAAAAATTCATCTTGTGCAGTATCAACTCACGCTTTAGTATCTTTACGCTTTCTCCCGTTTGGATCTAACTTGTCTTTAGTCGTGACCGTGTCATTATAGAGAGGTTCGAATTTGACTTCCACTACCACTACCTCCCACTAGCTTAGTACGCATCTGATTGGTTAATCGGATATATCAAACGCATCTGATTGGTTAATGGCCGCTAATGGTAGCGGTTCGGGAAGTCAAATCCGAACCTCAATAATATCACCGATGTGAAATAGTTTGGAACTATCTTCTTGTCTTTTGTGCATGTGATGTACTGATGCATATCAGTCATTACTGATTGTAGAGATATATCGAAACTGTATTACATCGGCCAACTTGATACGGTTACGACAGTTACGATCAAATGGAAACCAGAATTTACACCGCCAAGCCAGTATTCCGGCACGTATTAAAGGAGTGGAATGAGGTAATTTGTATGATTGATTAATTATGGTGATTAATTCTTGATCGAAGGATTGAGATCATTGAAATATTGATGATTCATAGCAACATCCGCAGCCATACGCATTGACGGATTAAACACGAGTAATTTCTGCAAGGATAAATAAAATAAAATTATATCGAGTCCAGATATGTTTTCATTCTTTACTGGTACGTTAGGGTTAAATTAAATGAAGCAATGCACGGTCGAATTACATCCACGACCGAACGTTTTAACACCCCGGTTTATTAGAGACCGTCTTACGGTTTTAGGACGGCAACGCGACGGCAACGGCTGCCAATACAAATTATACAATAGATCATTGAAAAGAATTGAGTAATTACAATATATGAATAATTTAGACATTGTCCTCGCTCTGTTTACAACGCTATATCACAGATTTTCACGTCTTGATACAACGGCTGCATTCCAAGCCACAACAAGTGCAACTTCAAACTGGGTTTAGCAGAACTCTTCCCAACCATAAAACCCATGTCTTCAACTTCTAAGATTGTATTGAATTCATACGATTGATAATATACGACGATCTTTACTACCATTTATTTGAAGGAGTTTGTTTTGGCCGTCGCCGTCGCGTTGCCGTCCTAAAATCGTAAGGTTTCTAATGTCTTCATCAGGGGTGATCGATAAAAGTCGCAAAGTAGATCCTTATGTGTAGAGACACTCTTATATGTAGAGTCGCAAAGTTGATCCTTATGACGGTAGAGACACTCTTGTTGGAAAACACCGTTATCTGACGATGATTCATGTGCCGTTTCATAATGATTCATGAAGCGTTACTGTGACAGTACATTGTGTTGATACCAATGATTGATACTGACAACTAGATAGTATAATCTATTCAAGCTAGGTCTTGCCTGTATTTTACGAAATTTGATCTTTCGAAAAAATCTGTTTTGTGTGTACGACTGCACGTTTTTCTCATTTATTTCACATCATACTGTATATTTTACCAGCATTCGTTAAACTCAAGATCAGATAAAAAATTTAAATAAGGAAAAATTCAGAGAGATTCAGATTTCAATCCTAGTTGCATGGACGATTGAAATAGGTGCTGTTTCACTTCATTTTCTGTCACCACGGTTAAAACAAGCATTATAGTCAGCGGTATATTTACGCACCAAGAGCATATGGAGCAACGTTAGGGTTAGAAACTCATAAACAAACGAGCATGATCTATAACCGAATGGCACGAATTTCATTTGTGTGACGTAATCATACGTAATGTACAAGAAACGGTCAGTATGCATTAAACTGACTACTGGAGTAGATCCTATTTTACCGAATTGTCCATTTTCACCTATTGATGTATAAAACACGTCTCATACCTTATAATAAATGTATTTGCACTTTCCACTATACCTGTAATAGATCTCTGCCAACGGATGGAAGTTTTGGTACAACATGAGATAATGATACTGGTGAATGGAAGCCATAATCCTAAAGTTTTAATACGAAAAACATGCATAAATGGTAAAAATTTGTAATGCTAAACGGTGTAGGCCGGCATATGACAAGTACTTTTATAGCAAGCGACAGTTAAATGGGCCCGCTTTGCATAAATTAGTGCCATCCAGTCATTGTTCAGTGACCGGAATTTTCGGCATTGTCTTTTATTGTTTTGAAAATCCATTATTGCCCTTCATGTCATCCAGTCACTCATTGTTTTGATAAATTTGTAACATTATGCAACCAGCCGATTTTTGTTTTATTGAGGAAAATACCTAGGCTACGTTTACACTGTACCGGATACCTTTCCGTAGCGGCGCAAAAAAGCAGCTATCCGATACGGAATGTACAACTTTCAGAAGCTGAGCGAAACAACATCTCTCCGTTGCTATAATTCAACTGTAAATAACGTTCCTAAAAGGTATACGGTTAGGTTTTTTTCCACGTCGCTACGGAAAGCAATTCGGTACAGTGTAAAGGCTAATTTCCACTCCGGAAAATAAGCAGCACATCGGACTGGATCAGAGGTTTTACAATCCGGTCCGATCCATCAAGCGATTTCCAGTAAAAGGACAAGTGGAATGATCGGATCGGAAAAGGAAAAAAATGGAGCTCGTTCCAGTCTCACATCCTCCATTTTGTAAATTTTATACAGGTATTATATTTAACTATTTTAATTTATGTGAGATAATACAGTATTTTGATTGATCAGCAGGTTTAATCCGCGAGACCGGACCGAACGGACCAAAAAAGTTGAAAATATTTCATCTTTTTATTATCCGGCCAGCAACGTCGTCGGATCAATCGGATCCAAAAATTTCTACTGATGGCACATGCGCGGATTTTGTTTTGTTCCAATCCGGTCCGATGCTTATTTTCCGGAGTGGAAATTAGCCTTAATGATAGCCCTAGATTTTCTCTTGCTACATGAGACATACAGGGAAAAAATCATAGTTTCAAGAGCAATGTAAAATAATGTGAATATTGCCATGCGATGCGACTTCTATATACTGTACTTGCATTATACTTACTTTATACTCCGGTAATGTTGTCATTCCTGGCCAAGTATCCTCACTTGGAGATCCCAAAATTCTACAGTAAGTACAGTACATCAAGGAAAATCATACGAGTAATAATTCAAATTTTGATAAGTAACTTAATATTCGATACAAGGTCAAAGACGCCTTTTCTTATGTATTGGGTATTATTTTCACCCAGGATTTCTAAATTGAGAAATATGGGCGAAGCATAATTATCCGTACTGTACTTTTTTTCTACTTCTATACTGTATCATATTTATGTGGAATTCACGTCGAATTGAAATGTAAACATTTATGACTGCCGAATGAGTGCCACAACATTCACCTCGCAGGTGGTAATAATAATTTAAAGGATACTTGTATATTTTTCTTAGTTGGTCATCAACGTCACTTCCCGGAAAAAGAGGTCTTCCCCCATTTGACAATTCTAAATCAGGCAATATGAAAAATATTAATTTTATTATCGTTATAGCCATGCATGCATGAGTTTGTTTACGGCCGAAATAATTACATCCTGAAAATGGACACGACGCACAATAGGCACGCAGTTTTTGGTGTTCTTTGGGCAAACGCGCAGTCTTCGCTCGAAACATCAGACTGGTCAGAGTGTTTTCAATCTACTTTGGTATAGTTTGACTGTTTGAACTATTATACATGCACAGTGCATGCCTTTCCAAAAGTTTAAATACACCATGCTGAAATGCGCATGTTGCCATATTTATGGAAGATTTTCCTCTCCCACATGCGGTATCGCTAATAATTTGAAATAAATAGTTCATTCGCCGCTTGAGCTCACTCAACATGAAAAAATCAGCTCACTCAACATGAAAAATAGAAAAAGAAAGGCAGCTACCAGAAGAACACGCATTAATCGTGGGAATGGCTAAAGGTTGAGCAGCAATATCCACAATAGCAGAGGAGACCAAGAGGTACTGTGGCAACAATATTACGACAATTTCGACTGCGAGGGAATGTGGAAACGGCCAAAAGAAGTGGCAGACCACTGAAGACATCGCCAAGGGACCACAGGCAGCTGGTGAAATTAGTAAAAGAAGACAGAAAGGCATCAAGTTAGAGCTTTATCACAAAAATGGGAAGAACTCATTCAAAAGCGAATCAGTGAAAAAAGAACACGACGACTGAAATCTTTAGGATATACTGTAATGGGCGGCAAGTCTCCTTTGGGCCAGGAATATGAGGAATAAGATCTTAAGATATTGAAAGAATGTCGTTTTTACGGACGAATCAAAGATACGAATAATTGGAAGCAATGGTTGTGTGTTTGTGTGGCGAACATCGACGAACACTGTTGACTTGAAATCCGTAATTAAAAACGAGTGGCAAGCAATTCCAGTTAAATTGGTCCAAAATGTAATTAAATCAATGCCACGCATGCAGCAACAAAGTATTGACATTGATATAAATACTTGCCAAACTTGTTGTTCTTTTTGTACAGTCAATATTAGCTTGACATTGGTTTAAATAGAATTCTGAACAGATGTCGTAGGGCTATATACCTGACAATCGCATGTATAATATTGTGTGATTTCAAGTAAAGTGAAAAAGTGGATGGTGCATCACTTTGCTGTTTAATTAACATCTTGAGCACGTATTTAAACTTTTGGAAAGGCACTGTATATTAATACTGAAATTGAGGAAATGAAATCACCACGAGAATCGAAGAAAGACTGAGCTCCAAGTACCATTTGAACCCATGCAGAACCCTCCGAGTTCTAGACAGATGCTCCAACACCTGAGCTACTGGCGACTCTATGGTGAGCAAGGGTCATGTCTGGTTTTGACTCCGTCCGTCCATCCTGCCAAACATATCTAGTATATAGCTTCTTGTGGTGATTTTATTTCCTCATTTTCACACTAAATATACATTAGTTTGAGCTACAGCTCAATGAAACGTATGATTATTGTTTCATTTATGTTTTTAACAATCATTCTTTTTTTCCTGTTTTCTCCCAAATTGCGCTCCATACCATACTTTACCCATGCGAGAATGTAAAAGATTAAGTAAACAATTTTTATTTAATATATCAGAGTAACATACCTGCAAAAATACAACCCGCTGACCACATATCAATCGACGTGGTGTAAATTTTGGCGCCCATGAGAACGTCGGGTGGACGGTACCACAAAGTTACAACCTATTAAGGGTAACACATTTAAGGTACATATTAATTGATCTTTACTGTATCAAACTTTCAGATGATGGAAACGCTACCGTACGTAATACAGTTTTTATGAACTATGAAGAAATAAATGACCTTTGCATATTTTTCAACAGAAAGCAAAACCAATTTCCACGGCACTAACAATAGCATTGACATTGTTTTATACAGTACTGTATAACATCATTGAAACTTGTAACCTACTGTACATGTACCTCAGCAGAATAACAACGAACAGGGATACCAAACGGTCGTGCTAATCCAAAGTCACCCAATTTCAACTCTCCATCCTTTAATAGAAAACAATATAAAACCATTACAGAAAATGCAATGCAATAGCCACTTATAAGTTATAGGCACGCGAAGAACTATAATAACGTAATGATATATTGAATACAGAGATAGACTTCATTCTAAAGCACAAATTAAATTTACATGTAGATATGATCAAATGCACTTTGCATCAAGTGATCAAGTATCATTATACGCTTACCCAATTGTATATTTAGCCTACTGTATAGACTATTGTCTTTATAAACAATTTTATCTTAAATTACAACAATTGTGAAATTAGTTTCTTAACTAAGTTTATCCTAACCACCCTGTCAACTTTCCCTGTGGGAGGAAACCGGAACATCCGGTAAAAAATCCCACGACTTTCGGCAGAGCGTTGACTTGGGAATAATCCGTTGCTCTAATTAATAACTAATTGCTATTAGATTATTAATAAAATAACCTAAAGAGTAAAGTAACAAAAGAATAATTTACCTTATTAATGAGCAAATTTTGAGGTTTCAGATCCCGATGCAGAACATTATTAGCGTGACAAAATGCCAGTCCTCGTAATAATTGATACATTAAAGACTAAAAGACAATGCGTGAAAATACATTAGTTGAAAGTGTACCAGGCCTCGAATTTCCCTGAAATCAATCGACGGCAATGGCGTTAAAAATTGCCGTAGAACGTAACAGCTGTCTACGGCAATTTTGGCAGTTTCCACGGCATTTTTCAAATTACTGTACTAAAACTTTAATTTTATTGTTACTTTGGATTTTTGACAAACTAGAAACATGTCTACGTATTTCTTTTGTGTTTTTTTTCGAAGAAAACTGAGACTAAAATAGTGATTTACGCATGATTTGATCAACATCTGAATTCAAGTATCAAAGTAGTAATGCACAGTGAATAGTATAAAAATTATACTATACGGCAAAAAATTGCCGTCGTTGCCGCAATGATTCACGGCATTTTGTTCTCCCTAGCTCTACGGCAATTGCCGCGATAAAATTCGAGCCCTGAAGTGTACATGCATGCAGATTAATGTCACATGTACACATTGTATACAGTATATCTACAAACATGGATACTCTGACTATAGACCTTAATTTGCACTTATTGACCAGAAACAAAAATTTCCTGCCTCCTGGAGTTCATTATTGCCTTGCTGAGTAGCGGCTTGTCCCAATTAAGTTGTCCTCTAGGGGCCGTTTGTTCAAAATCCTGTTCGCTTAATCATGCATGTGTTAACATAATCTTCAAAGCAATCTTCCCTACAGCTTGTTTATAAACATGGAAATATTCTTCCCCGAAATCTTGTCTGGATCAATGGAAGTTTTATTTTCTGAAGTTTTGACAACAGGTTAAATTGTGACCCATGCGTGGATAGTGCTAATTCTTCTTTGAACAACCGGCCCCATAAGCTAGTCATACATACATATATAAGTTAATTTTAAAGAAATGAAGCTCTAAGAGCATGGCCTAATTCGACTTACGCTGATTAGCTGATTAAACTAGACTAGTCAACCAGTCAGTAAGCAAAAACCTAGCTGACCAAGGCCAAATTGGCAATTGGTCTATAGATATTTCATAATAAACTGAAGTACATGTACAACAAATTAATAATTTCCCTCAACATACTGTCGCAAATGTTCCTCGGGATACTGCACCCCATTTTTTTTCCAGGTTATATGTTCAGGTGTTTAGATCGAAAAACTCCAGTCTCCAGGCGAGTATTCAAAGAAAGTGATATATGATGTACCTTAACAATGTTCGCATCAACTTCTCCTTGACAACTGTCGAAATATTTTTTTAAATCCTATAAAAAATGATGATAAACAAGACGAACCATCAAGCTTTATATACTCATAGTCTTTCAAAACATGGTTTGGAAACTCCGCTAAAGTCTTTGTTCTATCTTTTTGTTCGCGTTTATGCAGTTTTGTGCATGGTCAATGAACACATTGTATTTAAGTATAATGAACGAATCATCCAATAGCAACGTTTCAGTTCAGTCATTCAACCATGCTATTTAAATATTAATAAACCTAAAACAAAGGATGTGCACGGTGTAAGGTACGGCTCAACATAAAATCCAGCTCATTATAACCGCTTTGAAGTTTACTGAGTTTCCAGACCATGTCTCGAAAGACTATGCTTTACTCGATGTATGTGAATTTCCGAGATTCGAATTAAAATCGAGATGTTCTCTGACCAAATTATTTTTATTAACAAACTTTCTGTTATAGGTTTTCAACCCGTTGAACCCCAATCACAAGCCTATCCCTAATCCCATTGTGTGCAAGAAACATGAGGATATAAACCACTTTCACATCTTCACTAAGTCACTCTTTTTTTTCTATCTCCCTCAAAGAAATTCTGAAAACACGGAGAAGTTGGAAAAAGAGCTGATATAGCCACGAATTTAACTAATATGAAGTCTTAGGATACCAACAAATTTGTAATTTATCTTAGGAGGACTATAAGTTTGTCAGTGTTCAACTGTTATGTGTCACCCTCATTAAATAAAGTTGTTCATTATTATTATTACAGAGAATCATTACCTGATCACAGTATTCAAAAACCAAAGTAAGTTTTTTCTCACTTATCATTATATCAAATAGCCTGAAAGAAGTGTATATAATTATTTTAGATGACAATTATGATAAACAAGCACGATACGTACAGTACTCGTACTCCCCTGAGCCAAGCCGGTAGTTTTAAATGTTTTTACGGGGGTGGCGGCCTCTCCTTAGCGCACTAGCTAGGAACATGGCGAGTGCTTTCTGATTGCGAATCATGCATGGCCTTGTGGCGGGTATGCTAACATCAAAGGCATCGACAAGAAGTCAGACTGCTGTATTTGGTGTTAATTTCTGTGGAAGGGCATTTGCTCGAAAAGACAAAGTGTTTTTAGAGACCTTACGATGTAGAGAAAATAATTGTAGAGAAAACATGTCATGTATTATGAATCATCTGAATTTATACAATACAATCTGAGGAGATAAAGCCAATTAAGGCAGGTACATTGCTAGGGAAGATTTCTCTATTTCAGATCAGACAGAATCAATTTTGCTGAGAACTGTTGTATATAAGACGTAAAATCTGTAGTTTGTTGTTGTAAACAGAGCGAGGAGGACGTCCAATTAAAACTCTCGTGGGATTTCAATTATTCACTTCTTTTCTAAAGTATTGTGAACTTTATCGTACAATCTCATAGCCGTCATCACCACTTTGGCGTCCTTAGATCATAAGGTCTCTTTTATCTTTTGCAGACGTGTTTCTTATGTCATATTCTTTACAGGGTGTATCAAAAAACTTCACAATTGTAAAATGGCCATTAAACTGAAAACTCCACAAAATTTCTGAAGAATTTAGTGTTCAGGGTCTTCTGATTTTCCTAATTGACCGAAACTGATCTGAAAATTTAACCTAGTTCAGGAAGGTGGTTATTAAAAAAAGCATCAAAGGTGGCTTGCAAGCGCATAACAATGAAAGGTTTAAAATACAAGTTAAATTCATAGAGCGCAAATTTGGAAAGCATTTTATGAACTAAGCACGTACCAGACAATTTGACTGGTGTCCCAGGAAATTTGGCCCCCCAAAAATTTGGCCCCCCCAGGCCAAATTTCCTAGCCCAGGGGGGCCAAATTTTCGGGGGGGGGGGGGAAATTTCCTGTGACACTGGCGTACATCAAATCCACCGCGCGACCTCTAAAACTATCAGTTCGCGTATTAGCCTTTCACGCATATGTTTTTAACGAATATAGCAAAAAAGGTTTTAGAGGTCGCACGTTGGACTGTACAACAGTACTTCCTACTGAAATGTACTGTATAACAGTACTTCCTACTGAAATACTGTTATAAATAAAAAAAAACTTGTGTTTTAAACATACCATTTTTGTGCGCAAGCCAGGTTTTAAGTGGCAATGCGCCCAGATGCGCCCTACTTTATTATTCTACTTTGTCTAACACCAGATTATTTCACTCTGTCTAACGCCAGACGATTTTATTCATCAGGGGGAGAGTGCAACCTTGTGTCCAGGCTGCCACTCAATGGGTTAATGTGATTTTGAAAACCAACCCTCCTGCATGCACTAATAAAAGAGTTCACATATTTCATATTACTTTAAGTGTTAAAAATATCAGAAGACCCTGAAATAGCCTGGGAGTCTGGGACTGCCCACAAGCTAGAAATACCCATATTCACATAAATATTAAATTCTTCAGAAATTTTGTAGCTAATAACTTGCCTCACAATGTTTTTGTGTCTCAATTCCTTCAGTAGACAGATCTCTCGCAACGCAGAACTTGGTACACCCTGAAAAATAATATTCCAACTGCCTCAGACTGGAAACCATTTGACTTTTGAGGAGGAAGGCTGTTTTTAGAAAACATCCGGCAACCAGGTTCAGGGGAAAATATCTTCACAAAAAGCGAAGGCAGTATGGAAAGGATGTCATGCACATGCTTAGAACATCATGGTGATTGACCTCGTTGGAATAGCTGTGGTGAAACATGCAATCACGATCAGTAATATTTAATGAAGTTGAGACAAAGGATTTACGTACAGTGAAGCTAGTAATACAGTTCAACTTCAAATAAAGACCTTCCATTTTGTGGCTTTGAAGTTTGCCAGGCTTCCAGAACATCATTTCTTGACAGACTATGACACGTACAGCTCAATTACATCTACCCAGGTGTCACACACCCTTCCTCCACCCATTGTATTGGGTGAAACCATCGTATTGGGTGGAAGAAGGGGCTAATTGGCATTTAGGGAAATGTATGAACTTCTGTTGACCTCTATTGCACTTTCAGTTTAATTTTACAATACATATACTGCTTTAAAAACTTTAGAAATGACCTGACTTACATTTACTAGAGACATATTGTTCATCTGGAAGCACTTGGACAAACAAAAAAAAGTTTGTCTGATAATTTGTAAATGCAGTATATATATTTATCATAATTTTAATCTCTATATTCTATAATTACCTCATCATCATCATCCAGACGAACTCTCTTCAGTGCTACAATCTCATGAGTTTCCTTATTTTTCGCTTTAAACACAGTTCCATATGTACCTAAGATGACACATCATAATTCATAATTAGATGATAAATAATAGGGAATTCCAGCTTTTAGTTTATGTGTGCAGGGGATGGGAAGTAAGTACCATGTTGTTGATTATGCTGAAGAAATAAAAATGGTGGCCGTGTAAACACGGTGTGCAAGTTACCTTATACGTGTAAATATTGAAATATTTCTGTTTTTTCGTCAGTTTTTATTGAAATTTTTCAGCATAATCAGCAATATGATACCTTTATACTTCCATCATCCCCTGCACGCATAAATTAAAAGCTGGATTTGCCTATTGAAATCTCTTCTTTAATTTGTTGATTGTGCTTGCCAGAATATTGGTCAACTGTCTTGTGAATTTTTTGCTTGCTGTGATGGTACATGCATGTATATAAATTTCAACACTCCATGCATCCTTAGAGAAAACTATATTTACAATTTTTAGAATGTCATTATTAATTAATTATTCTTTGGATATTTGGGGCTTTTTTGTCACATAGGCCTTACTGCCCCCCTGGTGAAAAAATCCTGCGTACGGCCATGATTTTTATAATATAATCTGCTTCGTCTTCATATGGACAAGCTGGCTAGCTTATTTGGCATTCCAATATCCCAGCAGCCAGGTTGAAAATTTCCTTATATAAACACTAATGAACCTGGTTAACAGGACGAAGGTACAATGATCGAGATTATCCCAAAAAAACATAAGCCAAAATTCATTTTGCTAAAAATCCACAATTAACAATATAATTTCCCACGTTCGAGATTCTTCACTTGGAAAGTTAATTACTTCCCAGTAGCTAGGTCTGAAGCCCAGTTGTGTGTGTCTGAACATTTATATTCCCCACCCCTACTCCCATGAGACACCATGCACTGGGACCAGATGCTCAATAAAATTCTAAGAAGTGTCGATGTACATTTGTATTGGTGTACATTTTCCCAGGGGTTGCCTGGGGGAGGGGGGAATGGTAACAGGGGGAATGGTAACAGGAAGAATAGAACCATGGATGCATTATCTAATATCCTTATCAGGTTGTCTTGATACTAAATAAACTGCAGATGCTTTCTCTTGCCTAGAAATGCACCATGTTCTCATGTGATAACGTTCAGGAATGCTACTATATCCTAACATTGTAAAATATATCTTCGGAATGGGTCATTCCAGGAAAAATCCACACTCCCCCCACAGAGGAAATTTCTGCCATCCAGAGGGGGAGGGGAGACAAAATTGTTTGTGATAATAGTAAATGTATTAGGACATCCGAAGGGGGTAGGGGGGTTAACTTCCAATTTTCTCTGTGTGGGTGGTATGGATGTTTTCTGGAATGACCCAATGGCAAGATCTGATTGGTCAACAAGAAATTATACTAGAATTGGCTATTAATAATGCCAACCCCATATTTCTAGCCTTTCTAGACTGATTCAACAATTTCGGATTCATTTTCATGTCACACAGTCATCAAATATAATATGGTGGTAAAGGGTTAGGTGACTACTATATCTTGTGACTGTGTGACATCAAAATATAACACAATTTCATGATCCCCATTTTAACAATGTTCATACACTAAGATAAAGTATCTAAAAGATGATATCAAATTACCAATAATCAATTAGCCTATATATGAACTCATACCATAAAACCCTATAAATATATACGGATATGCCATCTGACTTATAATACATTGTATTGTTTATATTAATTAAAATGGCAGTTGAATAACCAATACCTTCGCCAATTTTTTCCAATTTTTCATATTTCTGCATCGCAAATATTATCCGCTTATATACATCAGCAATTTATCTATATATATATATAAAAATGTATAAATGTATCTATTAATGAATGGACTTTGTTCACTGATCTGAAATAAGTGACTTTGTTTCATTGAAAATTTTTTTCTAAGCATCCTCAGTGGGGAGGGGGAGGGGGAGGGGGGAGGGAGGGCACTGGTTATATATTATATATTTAAAAGATAAAAGAAAGAAAATTAAAAGTTAACCAAAGATTGAACATAGAAAAGAGAAAATATATAAGAAAAATATGGAAATTAAAAATTAAAAACTGCTGCAAAACGATTAGTAATAATTAATAAAATGTAAAAACCAATGACGACAGCCTCCCTCCCTTAGTATGATTGCTAGCCCGCGAACAGGTTTGTTTTCACCAATCTAATATTTATAATTGAGTGAAAATTGTGAAATAATATTGAAATACGAAATAGTGAAATTGGAGATGAATTGTTGCATATTTCCCTCAAGAAAAGAAAGCGTTTTAATTAATAAGCAAGTATCATATTATGTCAAAACTTTAAATCCCTCAAAAAGCTGGCAAATATGCGATGTGTCCCGATGTTCTCTAGTCTCTAGGACTTTCTTGGGTTTTCTAGCAAATACATCATTGCGCGGGCGTTTACCCTTGCACTCCAACAGACCGAATAAAATATTCAGAAGAAAAAAAAATACTTTTGTCATAAGTTTTGAGTGTGTGTTTCCGACACGCATATATAAACCACTTCTAGTGTCTTCTGATGCCGATGGAGTACCGTTAGGACAACATTTGTGCTGTGTATTAGCAAACACAGCCAATTTGGCAGAGAATTTGCTCAAGGAAACGTGTGAACTTATATATGACCTGCCATTATTAATAGAACAAGGTAAGCACTTGTAATTTGACGACCGCTATATTTCATCACCCAGTTCTAATATAGATATACGGTTTCATTATATCTAAACATTCTTCAGATGACGTTTCAATGTTGTTGCAATTAGAGATCGAAGTCATTAAATTGCGACGTTTTCTGGACAAAATTTTACGTATAAACGTAGCTGGAACGAAACTGTGATGAAATTTAAAGGCGGGTGTTTGTTAAATCAATTTTAGGTTTGATCTAAGGTATTAAATATATCGGCATCAAATTAGCTACGGTTTTTCGATTTTTTAAGTGGTACTTGCTATAAAAGATAAAGATAAAGTGTTCTCCTTTTACCAACTCGATCGAATATTGAACTTTGTTTACCGTCTTTTTATGTATGGCTTCGAATTTGTTAATTAATTGGGTCGTAATAGTTCTTGACAATTACGAATGTTTGAATTGTATACGAAATTATACAATATCGCTTTCATTCCTTCGAAGTTGAAGCTAAATTGTCTATAGATCGAAATATTGCTGTCTTAAACCTCGTTTAGCGAAGGGTACAAGGATACTTAGACAATGCAATGTTGTAAATATATACACAGATAACACAGTTGTCAACAAAAGTTTTTACGTAGGTTTTAATTTTCCACCAGGGAACATTCGGGTTGTAAAACATTCCTTAGATGCTGGACATGGGTGTTGCTTGTATAAACTCTGCATGAACACAAAATACCACTAAATTAAAATTTCCACCAAATATCTTGTAAATGTTTACTTCATATCCACACAAAATATCTAGGGAATATTTACAAAATGTACACAAAATATATTCGTTGACGTGTACAGTATAAATAATAAATATGAAATTAGACAAAAAATATGGAATCGACATTGCTTACATTTTGTATTGTAATTGCCCAGTTTGAAATTGGTATTACATTGATTGTAAAATATCTGCAAACTATTATGTATAATAATTGATTAAACAGAATCTGTGAACAGATTTACTTAGAGATATATATTTATGTGATAATAAAACCTTGGATTATTAAATTGACTACTTAACAAGATCAGATATCAGTTGTTACTTATTATTAAGCCATTAAGATGCATGGTCACTCTCAGCCAGCCTTGACGAAATCCGATGTAAGACAGAATAAAATCGCAAATAATGATATCCTATGATGAGGATGGTAATTTAAAGGCTATGATGAGGACTAGCAAATACTATGAGGGTTTACTAAATACTGACATATATCAATTAAGATTAAATTGAGTTGTAACAGAAAAGATCCACACTCCCTCTTGCCATGTGGAGGGAGAGGGAACTCAGGGAAGAAAAACTTGTTGCTGATAATAGTAAATGTAATTAGGACATCTGAAGGGGGAGGAGGTGTGGATGTTTTCTGGAATGACTAATTTTTATTTCATGAATGCATCATTGAATTACATTTTTGAAATTATATTCTGTTAGTTAATTAACAGATTAATACCTGCAGTCGTCGATCCAGGTCTGGTATCCTAAACCCATTAAAGTGCAAGGCATCTCCCCTTGATGAGTAAAATTATCTGGCATTAGACTGAGTAAATTAAGTAATTAATATATTGAGTTAGGTGCATTTGGGCACATTGCAACTTAATGGTTAATAAGACACTTTGGCAGATAGTTTAGTTAAACCTTTAAGTGGCAATGCCCCCTAATGCAAACATTCCAACCGTCCCGGTTTACCCGGGACTGTCCCGGTTTGGACTATGTTGTCCCGGTGTCTCGGTTTTCTTCTTATTGTCCCGGTTTCTGTAGTATTTTTATAGTTGTATTCTTCAAATAAGGCTCATGTGACAAATATTAATGAAATTCGTTTGGTTCAATACATATCAATGAAATGGGAGCTTCTAGTTGCCCCAAACAATTGCCGAGTTTGTCGCCGATCGTTGTAATTCTCGTGACTGAATATGTTGTTTTGACAATTTAGCGTTCACTTTCAATTCCTATTCATTTTGCCAGGGCTACATGAAGTAAAGCAGCGTAACAGAAGCGGGCACAATAATTGCGGGCTCTTGAATACAAGCGGATCAGGTTATTAGCACTATTTTCCAGGTTTAACCTGCAGGTTAGCACTATTTTCCATCCAGGAAACCGCCCTATCGATTTTCTAAAGTCTTTCTTTTTGGATTTTTGTTATTAATTCGGTTAGGGTTACAGTTAGGGTTGCGGTTAGGGTTAGGGGTTTAGAGTAAGGATAGGGTTTGGGTTAGTTACATTGCCATTTAACACCTCTTCCATCTTTCGAAAATGACATCAGGACAGTTTGCTGGATGGAAAATAGTGCTAACCTATTTTCCATCCAGCAAACTGACCTGACGTCATTTTCGCAAGATAGAAGAGGTGTTAAATGGCTGTAACTAACCCAAACCCTACCCCTACTCTAACCCTAACCCTAACCTCAACCCTTAAACTCTAACCCTAACCCTAACCGAATTAATAAAAAAATCCAAAAAGAAACAACCTTACAAAATCGATAGGGCGGTTTGCTGGATGGAAAAAAGTGCTAACCAGAGGATCACAGTTCAAAAGACCAGTAGTAAAACGAAACAATTTCGCCAGTACAGTATGAACAGTACTTCAATGAAATTAAAACTTGTTGAGAAGATGTTATATTATTACTTATGGATTTCGACGTTAGTGTAATAAAACTAGTTTTTGTAGCATCCACTGTGAATTTATTGTTTAATTCAAACTTAACTCAGCCAATTTTAACACTAACCAAAAATATAGACACCACATCAAATCATCAATGAAAAAAGCGCGGCATTTATTCGAGGGAGGCGTTTATTCGAGGGAGGCGTTTATTTAAGTAAAATGGGAAAATTGGGAAGTGTCCCGGTTTTGAGGACTCGGAGGTTGGAATGTCTGCTGATGCATCTTACTTTAGTATGTTACTCTGTCTAGCGCCAGACGATATTACTTAATTGTCAAGTGGAGATTACTGCCACTCAATTGGGTTAACCAAACAAACTGCTGTGCATCCTCTTAACCCTAAGTTAATAAGTGTCAATTAATGCACCCTGGTGTGGCCAGTACTTTAGTATTTTACTCTGTCTTAAATGCCAGACGATCAGTTACTCCTCAGTTAGTGGAGAGTACTGCCACTCAAATTGGGTTAATTATGTAGGGTTCAAGTAATTATTACAGACTGCAATGTGCAATAGTATGTATGCATATTAATTGTTTCAATTTGCCCAAATTAGTGAAAATTGCGAATCACGTTTCCAAATGATAATTGCAAACTTCATTTTGCAATTGATCAACAAATTAAAGTAGAATATGTGTTATTTTGTTCCTTTAATAGCTATTTTTATACTAAAAGAATATGCATGGTTGCAATTCTTTTGAATTATTCACAAAATTTGCCATAAAATGTCTGCATTAATTTTTGTCAGTGTTTGAAGAAAAAACTAGTATGTTACTATGTGCTGCTAATGTGCTGCAAGACTTGGTGTTTTATTAAGGTTTAATTAGGTAGATTAAAATAATAAAGCCAGGTGCATTTGGGTGAATTGCAATGAGTTGTTCCATTTTCTATACCATTGTCTGAATGAATGGTTGTCAATTATGCTCATTGTAATTAATTAACTATGCAATAATGCACCCACATTAACTGCACTGGTGTTTTTAACTGACTGCTTATACTTAGGGGCGGACCATTAGAAAAGTGATGGGGGGGGAGCAAAAATAAAAATCGAGCAGGGGATACAGAAAGAAAAAAAATTCGTGCACCAAAAAAGTTTGAAAAAAAGTTCGTGCAGAGACTTTTCAATAGGGAAAATTATAAGTTGACAGGCCCTATCAGAGGTACAGTGTAAGGGTGGCCCCCAAATTTGGAAAATAAAAAAAAAATAATTTGGATTTGATATATTAATTAGTAATGGTGTGAGAAAAAATTTCTAAACCTAAATCTTGCAGATATTGGTGCAAAAAAGGGTTTTAAGCATGTTTCAACAAGAATTTGTCAGGGAAAATTTGTTTTGAACCTTAACTGAACTGATGTTAGTCCGGAAAATTTTTTTTTTACCCTTTTTTTATATGTCCTGAAAAAATGTTTACCCCCCCCCCCACTCGCCAACATTTTTTTGGAAAAAAAAAATTCGAGCGAGGGATTATTTAAAAAAAAATTATCGACACAAGCAAAAAATTTTGAAAAAATAATCGTACAGGTTGGAAATGTCCCCCCCCCGCCATCACTTTTCTAATGGTCCTCCCTTACCAGGCATAATTAGGACCACAATTGCAAGATTATAGTTAATTGTATAAAAAATTCATAAATCATTTTAAAATATTTTTTTATTTCACTTCCATACTCGGGTTGCATACTCCGGGGTTTTGTGCAGTTAATTGTGTGCCGCTCACTCCCACTTGGAAGGTAAAACCATAGCAACCATATATATAATATATACCTGACAAAAAAAAAACTAGATTTGCATGGTCTCCCCTACTAGATTTGCATGGTTTCCCCTGGTTTCTATAGATTGCATGGTTTCAGGAAAGGATTTTAGGGGGTCCTGATACATCAACAGATACAGTTGGACAATTCCTGAGCTGGTCTGATGATAATTTTATGACTTGTAACCCTGGTAAATGTAAAAAGCTTATCATCCGGAAGAAGGGATATAATGATCAACTTGACAATGTTTATAATATACCCCAATGCAAAGAACTTCCCATTTTAGGTACTACTTTTCAAGACAATCTTAAGTTCACTAGTCATGTGCGAGGTAAATTGGTCAAAGCAAACAAATGCTTGTACGTTATACGAACACTCAGGGCAGAAGGCTATAGCCAATGTGAGATAGATTATCTATTTAAGACCCTAGTAATATCTACTATAACGTTTGGCCTGTCCGTCTACTGTTCTTCTCCAGCCGAACTCAATACTCTACAACGGTTTTTTGACAGATGTTTTAAGCGAAAGTATATATCAGAACCTGTAAATATTAGATATCTTTTAGAAATACAAGACAGAAATATTTTTAAAGCTTCTGTAAATCAGAAGAGTGCCATAGTCGACTTGATACCAAGAAAAAAATCCACAAGCTACTCTTTGAGGACAGAGTTTAGTCAGTATCCAAGAGTGAACACGGAACGTTTTAAATTGTCGTTTGCAAATAGATTAATTTTTAACTATAACCTATTCATATGATGTAAACTTTACTAATGTATTCTTAATATATACTTGTAACATAAGTTATGTATTTTTATCTTTTGATCTATTAAAAAGACTTTTGAATTGAAGACTTTTGAATTGACTTAATTGTTTTCGAATTCCTAGTTTTTTCAATTAGCCTTTCACGAAGGCCAAACTCCGCCATTTTGGGGGTACCGTACTGTCAAGTTGGGTACTGTCTGCCCTCATGAAAGATTCTAGACAATTCAAACGTGAAAAGCGACTCTTAAAAGTTGTAAAATTTTACTTTACCATTATACAAAGTTTAACACACAAAAAGTCGCATTTCGGGGTGCGGAGACTCTAACGTGCATGGGAAAGGCAGTACCCCCCAAATGGTGGGAAAATCGGCCGTGAGAAAGGCTAATTAAAAGGATTGTAATGTGCCTTAAAACCCATCATTCGAAAGGCTGAACTGTACCATTAAGGATCACAACCCCAATATTTTGCGAAATGTCCGTCACTGGTCATTTAATTTATCGACATATTCGTCATTGATGATATTCAGTCAGCTACTCCACAACGTAGGCCAATTTTCCTCCTGAATCGGTGGACCGGGTGAAAAACCTTCGAAACACAGAAGGGAACTAACCAAGCTCTACTTACATTAGCAGTCAATGCATAGCTAGTGAAACTCGGCGGTCGGGACAGCGCGCTAACTGTTTCTGTATGCATTTAATCCGTAATCATTCAGCAAATCGGAAAACATTCAATCCATCATAGCACTCATGACATTCAGGAAATCAAACGTCGGGGCAAATTCACATGCGTACACTTATACTATGTCGTAATCGAGATGCAAATGTTCAGGCCTGTACGTACTAGTGTACCCTAGGTTTACCTGCTGACCGCTATACAATACGAGTTTAGGCGGTTTAAGGCGAGTTACCACGGTACAAGAAAGATTGGGTGAGTTAAGGCGATTTAATGGGCTCTAAATTGCTTCACATTTTCGTATCTGTAGATACAAAATGGCGGATGATCCGGATCCAGGACACAAGCTGGTGCGACGCAGCAGTCTTGGTAAAGGTTCTAAGAAACGACGCATGAGCAAGAAGAAGTATGATGGACGCAGTATTATGGATGATATGGTGGGCGTTAGTGATATGGTTTTACTTGACCCACTCACTGAAGACAAACTCATGGAAAATCTCGAAAAACGATTCAAAGCTGGAGAAATTTATGTAAGTTCGTATGCCAATTGTTACATCCCACATTTTCTTATCATTTATACGTTAATTTTTTTCTTATTCCTAATTGTACGAGCAACATCGCATGATTACTTGTTTATTATTAGCATATGATAAAATTGGATATATATACTTGTCCGTCAACATCATCTTCTCTCGCCAAAGCCCAGTCCTGCCAGACTTTCAACCAAAATTTGGTACTTTTGTTCGTATTTTCATTTAGTTCTTTTGTTAAAGTAAAATTTGGTGCTTTTGTTCGTATTTTCTTCTAGTTCCTCAGGGGCAATTTCATTTCACATTTGTGTTCAAAACACCTTTCCGCCATTTTGTTTGTTTTGGGTAAATCATTAAATGTACTGCAGTACAATCTGTGGTACAATTAATGAAATAATTGTACTCCTCTCAACCAATCAACATCCAGTAATTTTGTCATGCTAATAATAAATACATTTATACGTTGAAATTAAGCATACTAGCTGGCAGTCAAAGGCATATACAGGAGGAAAATGTTTAGGGACAGGAAAAACTTTGCCAGTCGTCGATGGAAATTGCCTGACAAATACTGTACACATTTTTTGCGTCATAAACTTCTCAAAATGTCTGGCGACGGGGAGTGGTGGTGTGGTGTGATATGTGGAGGTCGCCCACAGCGAAAAATATTCGAGTTGATTTGAGTATTTGCAGTGTAACATATCTCTTTCTTTTTCCGCTTCTCTTTAATCATTTGCCCGATTTTTAAGTAGAATCTGCCCGACTAAAAAATGATTGGGAGGGGAGGGAGCTGCAATCCCCGCTCCCCCTCTCGTACGCCGTCAGAAAACCTATTACTACCGCAGAAAACCCGGCAGTGTTGACTTGTTCCAGCAGGAATCTAAGCCTCAATCTTAGAGGTTCCCGCTGTCAATTAGATTTTTCTGTAATAGATATTATGTATAGTATAAATACTTTTTGTATTATTTTAGACATACATCGGAAACGTTGTGGTGTCAGTCAACCCTTATGAAAAACTGTACCTCTACACCAATGACGTAATCATGGAGTACAGATCACGAAACATCTATGAAATGGCGCCTCATTTGTAAGTATAGAATGATTTTGCGAAAGAACCACCAAGCTTTGGCCGTTTTTGCACAAAGAGCTGTAACAGAAGAAGAAGATGCAATTCAAAAATCTGGATGTACAAAATGTGTGATATTTTTTGTTGGACATTTACTGTTGACATTAATATTTTAGTTATATTTGCTCGGACAGGGAAAACTGGGAACGAACGAAAAGGGCGCGAAAATAGTTGTAGGACACGGGATTTTAGAGATAGAGTATATACATGTTAGGAGTTTATATTATGCGAATTATACTATAAGAAATAAAACTATCAAAAGTTAATGAAAGTGAGAAGCAAATAACATGGTGTCAGGAGTTTAAAAGAAGCCAGCTCACATTATTGAAAATGATAGAAGAAGCGAACGGTAGCGAAGCAGAAAACACGCCGAACACAGCCTCGGCATGTCAACCATTATTGCCAGCGGGCTTGGCCATGCCTAAGCCATTAAAAACTGAAGGAAACCTTGCCTCAAACTGGAAGAAATTCAAGCGATCTTGGGATAACTATGCTATAGTGGCAAGACTTAACCGATTTGAAGATGAATTCAAAACAGCAACGTTCCTTTCGTGCATCGGCGAGGACGCAATGGAAATTTTTGAGGGCTTAGATTTTGCCTCGGAAGAAGACCGCACGAAATTTGACATTGTTGTAACCAAATTTAAAGAGTTATGCTTAGGTGAAACAAACGAAACCTATGAGAGATTCGTTTTCAACAGCAGACAAAAGAATGAAAACGAAACAGTCGACCAATACGTAACAGCACTGCGAACATTGGCACAATCTTGTAATTTCTGTAATTGTTTACGAGATTCTTTGATACGCGATCGCCTGGTCATAGGAATCAACGATAATGCAACTCAAAAAAAGTTATTGCAAGATCGAAAACTCACCTTGACAAAAGCCATCGACATCTGTCGCAGTAGCGAGACCACGAAGAAACAAGTCAAGAAAATCCAGGCAAACAGCGAAGCAAATGAGGGCGAAATCAACGCCATTGTAAACAACAAAACCGAAACCGGAAGCACAGGAACCGGAAGCACAGGAACCGGAAGACGCGATGACAGGCGTATCGGACTTGATAGGCGTGACGGGGGGCGTGACAACAAAATTAAATGCAAATATTGTGGAACAGTGCACCAACGAAAAAAGGAATTATGTCCTGCATTTGGAAGCCGCTGCCGGAATTGTGGTCGCGAAAATCACTTCGCCAAAGTTTGTATGCAGAAAGGAAGATATTCCCGCCAAAAGCCACTTCACGCAGTAACTGAAAACGACTCAAGTGATTCAGGCGACTCGCTTATGACTGTCGAACTAGACCCCACCGAGAATGATACCATCAATACAATACACCAACCGAACATTTACAAATCACGGATTTTTGCTACCATGAAAATAAAAGGGGGGAACACAACCAAATTTCAAATCGATACAGGGGCAACCTGCAATGTCCTAAAAAAGAGTGAATTAAAAGGCACTAAATACGAACGGCGCATCAAACCTACGGCACATGTTCTAAAGATGTACAACAACTCATCACTCACACCCCTTGGAAAGTGCAAAATACAAGTACAAGACCCAATTACAAAGCAAAAGTTCAAAGTACCATTCACTGTTGTTGATGACCAGAATGCAAAAAGTAACCTTCTTGGCTGCCGCACCGTGCAACAAATGAATTTGATTCAAATTGGGAGCCCAATTCATGTCGATCAAATTAATGAAGACCTGACTCGGCCTGATCAAATGGGACTGACAATGCAAAACGTCAAAGACATATACCAAGATGTTTTTGAAGGTCTTGGCACCTTAGGTCCAGCACTGCATCTTGAAGTTGATCCTGAAATGTCGCCTGTCCAACTCCCACCAAGAAAAATCCCAGAGTCGCTGAAGCAACCGTTGCGAGAACATTTGGACGAACTTGTCAAGCTTGAGGTCATAGAACGAGTAGACTATCCAACAGACTGGGTCAGCGCAATTGTTGTTGCACCAAAACCCAATGGCAAAATTAGATTATGCCTCGATCCCAGACCACTCAATAAAGCGCTGAAACGATGCCACCATCCAATACCGACAATTGACGACGTACTTCCAGAACTGTCCAATGCAAAAGTCTTTACCAAAGTCGACTGTAGCAACGGATATTGGCAAGTAGAATTAGACGAAGAGTCGTCTCTTTTAACGACGTTCAACACTCCATTTGGACGATTTAAATGGCAACGGATGCCTTTCGGGATCTCCCCTGCAGGAGAGATTTTCCAGCAACGACTAGACCAGGCAATTGATGACTTGGATGGTGTACGGACTGTTGCTGATGACATTTTAGTAATAGGAAATGGAGAGACGATGCAGGAAGCTGTAGCCGACCATGACAGAAAGCTCAAGGAACTATTCGACCGCTGCAGAGCTAAACATATCAAGCTTAACCCAAACAAGATTGAGTTGAAGAAGACCTCAATGCCATACATTGGCCACATTCTTACATCTGACGGTGTCCAAGCGGATCCTGCTAAAGTACAAGCCATACTAGAAATGAAGCAACCCACAGACGTGGCTGGAGTCAGAAGAATCCTCGGAACAGTTAATTATCTTGCCAAGTTCCTTCCCCACCTCTCACAAGTATCTGAACCACTACGACAACTCACAAAAAAGAATCAGCCTTTCGATTGGGACAAATCGCATGACGCCGCTTTCACCCAAATAAAGAAATTGATCACAGAACCGCCAGTCCTCAAGTACTACGAGTCGACCAAACCCCTGATAATACAGTGTGACGCTAGCGACCACGGCCTGGGGGCCGCACTCATTCAAGAGGGAAAGCCTGTCGCATTTGCCAGCCGAGCATTGACGCACGCGGAGAAACAATACGCTCAGATAGAAAAGGAACTGTTAGCTATAGTTTATGGAACCGAGCGTTTTCACCAGTATACATATGGCCGACCAGTCACAGTAGAATCAGACCACAAGCCGCTCGAAGTCATTCATCAGAAACCTCTGTCAGCAGCACCTAGACGTCTTCAAAAGATGATGATGAGATTACACCAATATGACTTAACCATCGTTTATAAGAAAGGGTCAGAGATGCTGCTAGCTGACACACTCAGTCGTCACCATTTAGACAACTCCACCGACGAAGCACGCAGCGTCGACAGCGATCTCGACCAAGTGGACAGTTTGGAAGAAATAAACGAAATACTAAATTGTGAAACAACAACCATATTCCAAGACCACACAACGAAAGATCAAGACCTACAGCAAGTCAAATCATTCATCCAGTCAGGATGGCCCGAGAGCTCCAAAGATCTATCTCCAGCAATCACCCCGTACTTCCATCTACGAGACGAACTAACAACACAAGAGGGCCTCGTGTTTAGGGGAGACCGCGTCGTTATCCCAAAATCACTACGAAAGCAAGTACTGAATGAATTGCATGCAGCACACCAAGGGATCGCATCGACAAGTCGGCGAGCCAGAGAAACCGTCTACTGGCCACACCTGAACCAAGAATTGAAAGACCACATCTCACATTGCATCACCTGTGACACATTCAATTCCAAGCAGCCGAAAGAACCTCTCATCCCGCATGAAATACCAAAGAGAGCATGGGCAAAAATCGGTTGTGATATCTTTGAATTTGAAAAGAAATCGTATTTAGTAACAGTGGACTACTACTCGAACTTCTTCGAAGTTGACCGCCTTGAAAAATTGACATCACTGGCAGTCATAAAGAAACTAAAGCCCCATTTCGCCAGGTTCGGTATTCCAAATACTCTCGTGACAGACAACGGCCCACAATTCATCAGTGATGACTTTCGAGACTTCTCTATGAAGTACCAATTTGAGCATATAACGACCAGTCCCTATCACCACTAATCCAACGGCAAAGCCGAATCTGCCGTCAAGCAAGCCAAACGAATAATTCGAACATGCAAATCATCAAACGATGACATTTACCTTGCCCTTCTTGCCCACCGAAACACCCCCCAAACAACTCATGAAACAAGCCCCGCACAACGACTGTTTAACCGCCGTACAAAGACTCCCTTGCCCGTCTCGGAGAAGTTGCTCCAACCGAAGATAAATTCGCAAGCAAACAAACGCATCCAACAAAGACAACAGCTCCAAAAGAAATACCACGATCGTGGCGCAAAAGAGCTCAGCCCGTTGCGGAAAGGAGAAGTGGTGAGACTACAGCCAACCCGAATCGGCGAAAAGAAATGGAAGAGAGGGATAGTCGTACGCAAAAACGCAATGAAACAAGTACCGAAACAAGTTCTACAAGCAAAACACGTAGTGGACGGTTAGTTAAAAAACCTGACAGGCTAGGTATAGACACATAAGGGAACGCGGTATATATACGGTATATTTATAAAGAAAAAACTTTCAGAGAAGAGGAGATGTAAGCAAATAACATTTTTAATCTTACGTCATTCATATAAAATCTTTTCCAGGTATGCAGTTGCTGATTTAGCGTACAGATCTATGCGAGATTATAATAAGGACCAGTGTATTCTTATCACTGGAGAGAGCGGCGCTGGAAAGACAGGTAAACTAATTCTAGCAGATTGCACAGAATATTACTTACTTTGTAATACACCATTCCGGAAAGTACGTCATCTTATCTACAAAGCCTCGTTTTCGTGTATTTGACATTAGTTAAAGCCCAACATTGCAATCATGAATCTTTTCGAAAGGGTGTAATGTAGGACGTAATAGAGGTAATCCTTCTCTTGGTTAAAGCTTAGAATTATGTTTTCCTTATTTTCTAAAATTGTAGAAGCATCCAAAATTATCATGCAGTATGTCGCCGCGGTTTCTGGAAAGGGAAAACAAGTTGATAAAGTTAAAGAACAACTTCTACAGTGTAATCCAATTCTAGAAGGTAGAGGAATAATAGTTATAAATCAATGTATCAATATATATATATATATATATATATATATATATATATATATATATATATATATATATATATATATATATATATATATATATATATATATATATATATATATATTATAAAACTCTTCACTGCCCTCCCATTTCCTTTTAGCGTTTGGGAATGCCAAAACATTGAAAAATGATAACTCGTCCAGATTTGTAAGTATTCAGAATTTTTTTTTGGTTTAGTGGAAAATATTATACGTTTACTTGTTTGGAAATTCTCTTGTTCCGAAATGCACCCAGTAGGTCTTCGTCAATGTAAACCTACAAGGAACGTATCCAGGAAATTCCGTACGTTCACACCAGTCTTTTGATACAGTTGAACGTCTTCTTACGGACACCTTGTAAGCGGTCATCTCTTGCAAGCGCTCACAATCCCGGGCAAAGATCTATTATGAAGCGGCCGGACACCTCCTGTAAGCGGAAACTAGCCTGCGAACAGGCCCTGGGTTGCGGGCGGCGCGAAGAATAGAGGGCCTGCACGGATGATAGGTTTTCTTGGTAGTGGCGTTCGTATAGAAACGCAGGCTTCTGATTGGCTTACACTCGTTGACAAAATTACTAAAAATAGCAAATGTCAACAACAGCATTTTGAAGAATTTGAACTTTATTCATTTTAATATTATATATTATAGGACTATCGAACAAATAAAACTAGAAATGGAAACCAAAAGCAATAGCAAAGCATCACAGCAAAAAAGTCTATCATAAATGACTTGAATCTATCGCTTAAATCCAATATACGAAACTATAACAGTATTCTGAACTTCGTCTTCGGATTGACATCAGACTATAGTATAGTACATTTTGAGGTCGTCGTGGCTTCACGGATTATTCTCATTAGTGAGCAAGTCAGCAAGCGAAGGCATACAAAAGATACCCAAATATGTACGAATAATTATATTGTTGATCCTCGCTGGCATGTCATTTAGATAAATATATATCGTACATTAAACGTTGTACTATTTGCTGTATATTAAGACAATTTCGTCGTCGATACGGCTTCCACTATTGGCACACTCGTGATTTCGAAGAAATTAATAAATACATGCTCATTTATCATTTATTTAGACCACAGTTAGTAAAATTTTAAACGTATTCGGTATTCCAAATCCCAATCTATCTGACCGTATTTTAGTAATAGCTTCAAAATATTCAGAACATTGTTCTTTCAGTCGCACATAGTACAAGTATTACTGTACATTCAAAGCCAATGGTAGTATTTTATTCGGCTTTATATTTGTATGTGTATTGATATCTATTTAATATTTGAATTCTATATTTTTCCGAGTAATATATTGTACGGCCCGCTAATGTTTTGTATTATTGTTCATGTTGCACAATGTACACGCCTTGCGTCAATTTGACAGTTGACAGTTTATTTATCGCAGTCGACGCTGATTGGTTAGCGTTTAGCAGATGCGAAAAGGGGATGATTGAATAAAACGCATGGTTCCGTGCAGGCTCACCTTTCTCCCAGTGAGCCTGTTCGCAGGTTAAGCGGAAACAGACGCCAAAACTAAAATCCAAAATATACTGGCCATTTTTACTTCCAGTAAGCAGACAATTTGCATCTTTGGCAGTCTTAATCAGATGCTGTGTTGAATTTGATGAATTAAAAACATTGGTATAGCTTAATAAGACTAATATGATGAAGGACGACAAACATGTATCGTCATTTTTGTGACAACTATTAAGATGTAGTACTACAATAATTAATTATTAATGAAATAATCGATGAACTCTCATAAGCGGACACTGTAGGGAAAGTACATGGACTTAGAATTTGACTTCAAAGGAGAACCTGTGGGTGGTGTAATAACAAACTGTAAGTAAACCAAATTAAACTGACCATTTTTAATGCAAGATACTGATAGTATATACTGAATGATCGCGTCACTGAGAAACACAGATGGCCATTTTTGCATGATATATTTTCTGGTTTTTGTTGTAATTAGGCTCTAACCCAGCAGGGGCGTAAACACTCCGTAACTGGGGGGGGGAAAATTGCTTAATTGCTACCCTTTCGTTTTGTTGAGCTAAATAACCATGTTACTGTTAATTCCGGCCTTTTGCCGAGCACCTGCATGTTTTCAACCATTTTCCTTATTTTAGTCTCGTATTGTGAGTCGTGCCAGCGAAGAAAGAAGTTTCCATATCTTCTATCAGTTACTTAATGGCGGATCTGGAGAACTTCTGCGTAAGAAATGTTGACTTATTTTGTGATTGACCGAGCATGATACTATCTGAAACTTCCGATTTCCGATTGTTCCAGTTAGTCGCCATCGGTTGAATGACGTCATTCATTTAGCTCGAAACTCTGTATTTGTAATAATATTAATATATATAATCATAAAACATTTCAAATTTGTGAACGGCACTTCGGGTCGAATGGCTAAAGATGTTCAACATGCATTGTATTTATTTGGGCATCTTCGAGAAATTGTTAATTTGTATCTAAATTATATAATTTTTTCTCTTTAGACGCTCTGGGACTGGAACGCAATTGCACGAAATATGCATACTTAAAGGAAAGTGGTTGTATATCTGTCAAAACAATTAACGACGTTGAAGATTTTCGATATACTGAGGTATATGATTGTCATTCTGATGTCATTCATTGCAACTCTTACTCAATTCAGAGTCTGCGGATTTTTCTACACCTTCAAATGGCTCCAAAAATCTCGCAAAGATCCGTGGAAATGCTTTAACCCAAACAATAGGACACAAAAAGCTATGGGGAATGCCCTACTGTTAAGGAATTGGGTTCTTATCATTCAACACTGGATAAGCGGCTGGGGACAGTCACTATCAAGGGTGTATATCACAGATACATGCATCAGCTTGCGTCCTCCCATGCGTGGATTTCATGTGAACTAAACCGCAAAGTATTTTTGATGAAATTTCTAGGGTGCCATGGGCATTATTGGATTCAAGAACCAAGAAAAACTTTGTATTTATCAACTGGTGTCAGCCATATTGCATCTTGGGAATGTGCAATTTGAACTAGCGAATTTCCATCACGGTTCCGATGGTGTATTTATCACGAATAAAATGGGTAATATTACTGTACAGTACATTTAATATATGAGTAGTGTGATTTCCCTAATCCTTATTGCCTATACATATACTTCATGCAAAAATCATGCATGGAAATAAGTGGTCCATTAGGTATATATAGCGATCTTTACCACTCAGGCTTTTCCTTTACGCACATATACCTCGCCAAAATTCGGCCTTTAAACAAAATTAGCTAGTTTTCTAGCATATACAAGCTGAACAATTCCACGCTGGTATGCAACGAATCGATAGTGGCAGGTATAAACCTATACAGATATACACGATATATTGTATATATGCATTTTTCCAGTGCTAAGGGTTATCGGAGATTTACTGAGATGTGAACCTGAAGTACTGCAAAAGGCGTTAACTGAGAGAACGGTGGCAACAAAGCATGAGACCTTCAAGACAACATTATCGCCGTCAGAGGTATATATTATAATAATACGACCTATTTAAAAAAGTTGAATGCAACCTATGTTGGTTATTAGTATTTTTCTTTGTCTATCTGATGTGGCCAATTTACCAATTTTGCTCCACATTTGGAGTTAAATTTGGTTCAAAATAACTCTATTGGGAGTTAAAGTATAACTCCCTGAAATTAACAGGACAGAGTGAAAAACTGTAGTTTTGAATAACTCTCACTTTTATCAATTAAGGCCGGCTATGCCAGAGATGCTCTCAGCAAAGCTTTATATGATCGATTATTTTCATGGCTTGTAGCAAGAATTAACCAAAGCATAAAGGTATGAAATGATATACCGTTCATAGGATGAATTGTTTTCACGATACAATACCGCCCCTTCGATAATTACGTCATTTGGCCTGGGAGCCTCGCTCTCATGAATCATGAGCCATTCACTTTGCGTAATTTACTAATGAGAGCGAGGCTACAATACTAAAAAGTATGTGTGACGTAATTATCGAAAGGGTGTATTGTATATGTATAAGCGTATTATTATATTCTACGTTTCCCTTGTTATCACCCTTGCCTCAATTCTTCAATATCCGTCTTGCGTACTGTATTGTATGTGTACGTTCATCCTTTGCACTCCTAGGTGAAAAGGAGAACTCGAACCAAAGTGATTGGAGTATTGGACATCTATGGATTTGAAGTTTTCCAGGTAAATTTATATACATTCTGTGTATTAGTATATCATACAATGCTGATAAATACCATATGTATGGGGGGGGGGGG